TCGAGCAAATTCGTGTTAAACGATTTGGCAAATCGCCAGTTCTGTTTTTGAATCTACCGCGTAGAATTTGAATTATTCCAAGAAAATTTAGCGATTTGATGCAAATGGGAAATCTATCCTTAGAAATGAATCGTATATATTATACTTGAATAAATATTTGAAGCGCACATAGCGAGACTGAGATCGCGTAAGGCCTCGGACATAGTTCACGCGATTTTGTCGCCTCGCGATTCTCTCGACAAGACAACTGTTACGAGCCCATTGCACGCCGATCGTCTTGCATTTCGTGTGATAGTCATTCGCTTTTCTCGTGTTGGAAAACTGGCACAAGCCAAAATGCAAGATGATTGGGATGCAATGAACAGTTGTCTTGTCCAGGGAATCGCGAGGAGACAAAATCGCGTGAACTATGGCCGAAGTCTAAGGCCCCGGGAGCAAATCCTATTGCCACGCTATTTGACAGAACTTCAATTATTTATAGCTCAGCACCCATTTCCAATATACAGTATGGAGTATTTCATCAAAATACAATTTATTGAAACTATGCATTCGAAGTCCACCAGTGGTGGATCTGAAGGCATCTTGTAAAATGCCAAATCGCGCGGCACTGAAATCGCGCGAGGTATGCTCAAGTTTAGGGTTTGCCCGAGACTCCAGAAATACAGATTTTCTAGAAATCTTCCAAGGGGTTTTCCAATAGAAAACTTGCATTATAACGAGAAATCTCCAGAAAATGTCCGTTCGAGTTCTTCTTTTCGATCCTCAATCTCGCGTCGCTTTTCAGCCGAAAGCACTCGGCCGAGATAGATTGTGATGGCGCGATGCAAATCGCGCCTCGTACCGCCTATCTCTTTGATGACTCGCAGTAACTTCTTCATGTTTAGCCATTGATCCACTGACAAATACTGCTTGACGAACTTCTATAATTAGATTTTTAGCAACATTTGCAGCAACATAAACATCTAGTGAGAGTCACATATCAGATTGGACTTCAGACTAAACTAATAATTTCGTTTTTGGCATGGAAACCTTCATAAAAACATTTCTAGCTGTTTTTATTCATGATTTTTTTGAGTTAGTAGCTCAAAGCTACTTCTATCGCATATCAGCTCACAGAAAATATACAGGCAAGTTTTCCATAAGCATATAACAGTAGAAACGTGATTTGCCTTTGCATAATTCTGTGACCAAAAGATCAAATTTTCTCATAGCACAATAAACTTGGGGTTTCTCACTTCTTAGCGGGTTATTACTGGAAAATGAATTCTACTCGAAGAAACTTCATATACCAGTTCTCATTGATGGTTTCAGAGATAGAAAATTCGAGAAAAAATTGTGTGTAGCAATTGTAATAGCCGCAAAGACGACCGGAATTATTTCTTAGCCAACC